AATATATGGAAAGGTGAAAATAAAGCCAACTAATTGGTAACAAATGGCAAAAACCAAAAAACGAGAAAGCACATATATCCCATGTATGCACATAAGTAAACTAGAATAGGCTGGTAAAGTAGAGAGGAGAGAGATTGAAACTTAAGGGGACAGGCAACAACTATTCCTAATAGATTTACCAGTATCTCTTTTGATGAATGTTACCTTTATTATTTAAAAATTCATATTGTATAGAACATGTATTTTTTTATATTTTTTATTGAAAAAATTTCTGCCTCCTCCCCTCCTCCCATTTTCCTCCCCTTTCCCCCACTCCTCTCCCCTTCCCGCTCCCTTCTCCCCCTCCCTCTCTAGTCCAAAGAGCAGTCAGGGTTCCCTGCCCTGTGGGAAGTCCAAGGTCCTCCCCCTCCATCCAGGTCTAGGAAGGTGAGCATCCAAACAGGCTAGGCTCCCACAAAGCCAGTACATGCAGTAGGATCAAAACCCAGTGCCATTGTCCTTGGCTTCTCAGTCAGTCCTCTTTATCCGACATGTTCAGAGAGTTCGATTTTATCCCATGCATTTTCATTCCCAGTCCAGCTGGCCTTGGTGAGCTCCCAATGGATCAGCCCCACTGTCTCAGTAAGTGGGTGCACCCCTCATGGTCCTGACTTCCTTGCTCATCTTCTCCCTCCTTCCGCTCCTCATTTGGACCTTGGGAGCTCAGTCAGGTGCTCCAATGTGGGTCTCTGTCTCTATTTCCATCCATTGCCAGATGAAGTTTCTATGGTGATATGCAAGATATTCATCAGTATGGTTATAGGATAGGGCCATTTCAGGTTCCCCCTCCTCATCTGCCCAAGGAACTAGCTGGGGACATCTCCCTGGACACCTGTGAGCCCCTGTAGAGTCAAGTCTCTTGCCAACCCTAAGATGGCTCCCTTAATTAAGATATATACTTCCCTGCTCCCATATCCACCCTTCCCTTATCCCAACCATCCCATTCCCCCAAGCTTTCCCCATCCTTCCCTTCTCACTTTTTTCCTCCATTTCTCCTTTTCCCCATCCCACCCCACCCCCAAGTTCCCAATTTTTGCCCGGCAATCTTGTTTACTTCCAGTATCCAAGAGGATATCCTTGGGTTCACCTTCTTTTTTAGCTTCTCTAGGATCACAAATTATAGGCTCAATGTCCTTTATTTATGGCTAGAAACAAATTATGAGTGAGTACATCCCATAAGTGAGGCTCTTTAACATTCCCTGTGGAAGAATCTTTCAATGGTATATTTTAACAGATTTGTGAAGGCAATTTTATCTTTATTCTTTTCTTGTAAAGGTATAGTGAAAAAGTAGCTCTTTTAATCAATCAGCATAATAGACCACCCTTAGTTAATAATGAGGGCAAGGGAATTCCAGGTTGTAAAGAGCCCACTGGCTGAATCACCTTATTTATGGCTCTTAAATCTGTTAACGTTTTACATTTTTCAGATTTCTTTTTAATTAAAAATATAGGAGAATTCCAATGACTAGTCAATTCTTCAGTAAGCTGAGCAATTAACTATTCCTGTACACCAACTGTTCTAATGTCTGTAATTTTTCTGATGTCAAAGGCTATTGTTCCACCCACACAGGTTTGTCATTTAACCATTTTAAAGGTTGGGCTGTTGGTAGGAAAGATCAGCAGTTGGTATGCCCTGTTTACGTACAACCTGCACAATCAGTGGCTCTTTTTGATAATACCTTCTAATATTTCTCAGAAGCTTTTGTTTCTGAGATTGGAGAGGAATGTTAACATGTGTTTTTCATTGTTGCTACAAATTACGCCACCTTAAATTCATTGCTATGGTAACCACATATGGTTTTAATTTTCCTATCTGTCCTTCTAGCCCTATACACTAAACCCATCTTGTGCTTTGTTTTGCATGAGGTAAAGTTCCAGTTCCTAGAAGTTGAACATTTACCTGAAGAGGCCAATTTGGATGCCAAGATTTTGGTGGAATCATTGTTATATCTGCACCATGTCTCCCAAACCATCCATTTCAATGCTATTTAATTTGTATTTTTAGCTTTAGTCTTTGTTCATTAGAGAAGTTTGCCAAAATACTTGCTTTTTGGTCTTCCTGAAACTGTTCTGCCATCCAGAGCAGTATAGGTTTTAGCAATAGGTATTAAGTCTTTTAATTGCTCTGTGAAGTGATTTCTCCAATTCTGACTGGGAATGATTGAACCAAATTTGACATTGTGCCTACAAGAGGTTTCCCTAAGGCATTTTTGATGGCAAAGGGTTTCTTTACCTGACCTTTGTGGAGCTGGCCTGTGGAGTAGTTCAATTCTAGCCTTTGTTATGCATTATGCATACTCCAGAAGGCTGAGGCCTTCTGTTTGGATTATCTCTTGAAATAACCTTATTTCTAGGAACACCTTGCTTACAATCCCTACTTTACCACAATTAAATTATATGAGCTTATAATTTTTCTTAAAATTGTTAGAAATCACCTCTCCTATCTAAATATCATCATAACATGATATCCAATATCAGCTGGATTTTGGATTCATTCATCTAGGGGAGCTGATCTTGCCTTTAAAAGCTTAATCACCCTTTTGCATTATGAATTAACACAAAAGCCAAATATTCAATTAATATTTGTTTAACATCTGGATCTGATATCATTCTATTTGCAGCTGATGTCAGTCTTTTAAAAAAAGACACAATGAAGGCTTTTTTTGGGTCTCATATAATTTTAGTAAATGAATCAACCCTTTTTCCAAATTCTTCAACCCTGTCTCAAGCATTCAAAGCTGCTATATAGCATGGAACCAAGATGTTACCATCTAATATAGACTGTCTTTGCAAATTAGCATACTGACTCTCACTGAGAATCTTATCTTGGGAAATCTCATTTCCTCTATCCCTCCCTCATTGTTCTGTGACCTTAGCTTATTCTCTCCACCATGTTCTGCATTGTAATTTAGGACTAGCTTGCAATACTTTTTAATTAAAATTTCTAGTCTTATGGAATAATTCTGTTTCTAGTTTTGTATGAATTTAACATCTGTTTTGCAAAAAGTAAATGCATACCATATGAAATGACAGCTTCCATAAATCTCTTCCTTAAATCTAACATTTCTACAAAATTCCAATGTTGGGGTACCTATCATCTGGTGACTATTCTTGTATGGTAACAGGTTAAATTAAAGTCTAATAACTTTAGGCCACTCCTTTTCAGTTTCATAGTGCAATGGAGAAGTAGATTCTTCTCTAAATTCCTCTGTCTGTGTGTTTTCTTTTTTCAATAGTAGAGTTTTAAAAACTTTTATCTTTTCAATAGTAAGTCATTCTAAGACTCATATCCTATCAGCTAATTTTTTCGTATTCATTGGTACATCTGTCTAAAGCTTGCATCTTATCAATAATAAGGTTTTCTAAGGCTTATATCTTATCAATCAAATCATCAAACAACTACTTTTTTAAGGATAAAATACTAATTACTAAATTGATAGTAACTGCAATCAATATTAGGCCCATTCCTGCTAAAAAGTTTATCTCTTCATTTATATTTTCCATTTTCAAACCATTCATGATAAGACTATACAGGGTCCTAGTGCCCTTCATTGTGATATTCTCCATTTTGAACATTGGAAATACTTTTCTTTTTAATATTAGTTAACTCTGCTTTAAAGGACTTCCCAGGTATCTCACCAAAGCTGCTGACTTCTCACTGTTTGTGTGTGATGTTGACCTGTGAACTCAAGTCCCTCTCACAATTCCCAAGCAGGAGCCTCCTTTCCCAGAGTCCTGGCAATGGCGAGTGCTCATTCAGAGAGGCCCAGACAGCAACTGCAGCAGATCCAGCTGGCATGACTTCTCTGTCCACGTGATCTTGCCACACATTAAATGTAGTTTAAATTTCGGCCCTGTGTCTGCACCTTAATCAACTGCTATTTCAGCCAACAATTGTTACTTAGCAGTTACCAGCCTGCATCTCCATCAGCAGCCACTAGGGTGGCAGTCTGGCAAAAATTCTGTTCCTGTGGGCACTTGTCTCTCACTGCCACTAAAGGTAGCTTTAACTAAATCTCTACCATTCTATTTATAAATAAGACTCAAGATTTAAAGGCTGTTTTGAAAACCTGCTAGCTCAGAGTCACAACTAAACGACTTCTCCTTGCTGGTGTCTCCAAAAACCCGAGTTTTTCTGAAACAAAACAAAACAAAACAAAAAGCTGTGCCACTCCAGATCCCTCCCTACTACTTTCCTGTGTCTCTTTATCTCTCCTGAATGCCCTCGGATGCTCTATGATTACTTTCTGTCAACTAGTTGCTAATTCAGTCTCTTGAACCATAGTTAATTTTATTTAATTAATGCAATTGCAAACTTCAGGTTTAAAGGTGATTGAATATCCCCCCAATAGATGACATCTGGAAAAAGGAGTTTAATCAAGTCAGGTCATGCATTATGCCTACCTGGCAAGGGGTTGGAAGAAGGAAAGAAGGACTACTGTGCAAAGTATTTGACAAAAATAAAGGTACCCATAAAAGTGAAATAATTGATTAGTATGGAATGAAACTTTTTAAAAAATGTTGAGAAAGATGTTGACATATGATGATACAACTTCTAATTACTATTTTATAGCAATTTAAATATTTAAAACTTTTATTTAAACACTTTCTAGTGTCAAGATATTCAGGTATGGATTGAAATAAAATGACACAGAAAGAACTGTTCATCTTTGTCTTGTGGCCAGTTCTGTGGCTTTAATTAGGGGATGACAACTGGAGAAAGGAATTTAACCAAGTAATCTTATGTGGTATGCCTACACTATACCTGGCAAGGAGCTGAAAGAAGAAAAAAAGGGGTTAGTGTACAAATTATTTGACAAAATAAAGTCATTCATAAATATGTATTAAAATGTAATTTCCAAGGTGTTGAATATCAGTGAAGATTAAACTTCTAATTTTTGCCTTACAAGGACTTAAATATTTAAATATTTGTATTTAAATATTTTCTAGAGTCAAATTATATGAATGGGAATCAAACATCACAGATTGATTCATTACCTGAGACAGAAGGTACCGTTCTTCTTTATCTTTGGCCAGCACTGGGGGAATGGAGAGTTCACCTTGCTGAGAAACAGTGACTACCGCTTTGGCTTCTGGAGAGACTTAGGATGAGTGGAAGAATCTGGTGATGTGAGAGTTATGTCAGGAGGGACCCTGAACGATGGCCTTTGCACCTTTGCTGTCTTAGAGTAAGAAAGGCTATGGGATTAACATCCTCCTAAGTCTGTGTTACAGAACTCTAGGTCATCTAATTAGATGACCTTTATTTGATGTGACTTGTGAGGACCTGAGGACCCCAAAGAGGCAAGTGCCACTGAAATGGTGTAGTTGAGATGGTTAATACAATGCTTATCAGAGTCAAGGCTCATTCACAGCGACTTCTGCTCCTGTTAAAGTGGTGACATCACTGACTCTTTTGTCACAGGTGGCTATAACAGATAATGTGTTGAGTAATCACCTCTCAGCAAACTTGTATCCATCATGGAATCTACGTCAGTATCCAGTCAGTGGGAGGTTTTATGGTGAGAGATGCATGTAGCACACAGGACTGGAGTTTTCTTTAGAAAGTGAATAATGTATTTAATTTTAATAGATTGAACATACAGAAACAAGAATTGTGAAATAAACTGAATGTTTCTACAATACATTTATAAGTCAAGCAATGCTCTTGTGAACATATATGCTGTTGTGGACAGACTTAACACAGGTTTCCTTTTCCTGTTCTTTGTGTGTGTGTCCAGTTAACACTACACTGTTTGTACAGATGGGTGCAAAGGCTCTGCTGTGCTGCCCTGCTATTCCAAAGACTAAAGCAGTATTAATAATGTGGGTCATAGCCTCCAGAGGCCAGCCTCCCTGCAGAATATTATACAGAGCAGAAATAAAGGAGATCGATGAAACCAACTGTACAGACAGGAGAATCATCTGGGCATCCACACCTGACCAGAGTCCTGACCTTCAGATCAATGCAGTGGCCCTCAGTCATGACGGGCTTTATTCATGTGATATAGCAACACTGCAGGGGAATTTCCTAAGGAGACATGACCTCTATGTGCTAGGTAAGTGACAGGGTCACATATCGTGCTATTTCAGGTCACCAGACTTTAGATAGAAACAGACTCCTTTGTAATTTGGGACAAGACTGAATCATTTTCGCTTCCATCTCCACAGTGCCTCCAGCAGTATCCCTGTTTCCAGGGGAAAACAGAACAGCAGTTTGTGAGGCAACTGCAGGCAAGCCGGCTGCGCAGATCTTTTGGAGTCCAGATGGGAATCACGTCACTAAGCAGGAATCACACAGCAATGGCACTGTGACTGTCAGGAGCACATACCACTGGGAGCAGAACAATGTGTCTGCTGTGTTCTGCTTTGTCTCCCATCCGATTGGCAACCAGACTCTGTCCATAGAACTCAATCAAGGTAATTGTTCCCCCTTTTAAAGAATAAATAATTGATATTTAACTTGTTCTTTCATGAAAGAGAAGTGTTCTAATTTCATTCTGTTTGTGACAAATACTGTAGCCAAGCCACTTAGAGGAGGAGAGAAAAGCCAAGACAACTCAAGCAGGAACCACGGAGCTGCTTACCAGCTCCTCAGACCTGTGCAACTATCTCACCTGCCCAGGGAGTGGGGCTACCCATAGTGCCCTGGCCTCTTGGGAAGATCTAGGCTAGGTCAAGTAGATAGTTAATGCTAACTAGGACAGCAGATCCACTTCAGACAGAAGTCACAAGTTTTCACTTATCACCTGCAGTTCTTATCAACTAGCTATAAAGTCAGGATGTTTTCATAAGCTGTGTATCAGGATCAGTAATTTGGTAGAATGAATGTTCACAGACTTTAGGATGCATATTACTTCATCTACTTCCCCTCTTTCTCCATTTATTTTTCTTCCCCCCCCCCTCTCTCTCTCTCTATCTATCTCTGGCTCTCTCTCTGCTCCTCTCCCTGTCTTTGTCTCTTCCCCCCATCCTCTCACTTCTCTTTTGCTGCTCCTGTACCTAGAGACCTGTCCCTATTCCCCTTCATAAGTGAATATTAACTGTAAAATAAAGGATAACCATGCTGCAATGCACAGATCCAGAGAGGCTAGGTAACCTAGGACCCAAGGTGAGACACATTGATGGCCCTGGGAAGGGGAGAAAAAAGAGATGTCATGGGTAGACTGGGGTTGGGTGGGCATGGGAACTTAAATGATTGGTTTGGAGAATAGGTAGAAGTTGAGAGTACTGAACAAAAACACTGGAAAGGGAGGCTTTTGGGGATCAGGCAGAAATCTGATGCAAGAGAAAACCCCATGAATTGACAAGGATGATCCTAGCTAAGACGCCTAGCAGTAGTGGATACATAGCCTGAACTGACCATGTCCTATGATCAAATTGGTGACTACTCCAGCTGTTATCAGAGAGCCTTCATCCAGTAACTGATGGGGACAGATATAGAGATCCACAGCTAAACAATAGGCTGGGTGTCAGGAATGCTTTTGAAGAGAGGGAGGAAGGAGTGTAGAAGCAAGAGGGACCAAGGACATCAAAGAAATCCCACAGAAACATGTATCGTGGCTTATAGAACCTCACAGAGTCTGAACCAACAACCAGGGAGGCTGTTGGGACTGATCTAATATGTGACTGTTGTGTAGCTGGGCTCAGAACACTGGGAACATGACTGTCCCTATCACTTTGGCTGGCTGGCAGGAACCTATTCCTCTCACTGGATTGCCTTGCCCAACTTAAACAAAAGGGGAGGTGTTTAGTCTCATGACTACTTGATATGTGATGCTTTGATGATACCCATGGGAAGCCTGCCCCTTTCTGAATAGGAACAGAGAAAGAGTGGTTTGGGGTGAGGTAGAGAGGAGCTGGGGAGTAGGGAATGGGAGGAGAGGAGGGAAGGGCAATTGTGACAGGTATGTAAAATGAAACCATCAATCAATAAATAAAAACATTTTTAAAAAAGTTTGTATCTCTTGGAAATGACAGGAAGTCTTCACCCATGAAACCTCAACAAGTCAACCATTAGTAGATATACACACAAGGCAGCGGTAAATCTCATGGATCCTCACTCCTTGTGTTTGTTTGAATGTAATTGGCTCCCATTATCTCATAGGGAGCAGCACTATAATGAGGTGTGGCTATGCTGGAGTGAGTATGGTCTTCTTGGAGGAAGTGTGTCACTGTGGGGGTGGACTTTGAGGTTTCCTATGCTCAGGAACCACTCAGTGAGGCATTTGACTTACTGTTGCTTGCAAGATGTAGGACTCTCAGCCCCAGCACCACATCTACCTGCATGCTTCCGTGCTCCCTGTCGTGATCCAAATGGACCAGACCTCTCAAACCATAAACAAGCCACTCTAATTAAATGTTGGCTTTATAAGAGTTGCCATGGTCAGATTTTCTCTTCAAGGAAATGAAGACCTTAATTAAGACACCCCTAGACTAAAAATTATACATAACAAGGGGTGCTACATAGGGGGAGAAGTAGTCTTCCCTCAGAAATGGTCCCCTAATTGGTTAATCTATATCAAGTGGCCAGTTCTGAAATTATGTACATTCAAGGAACATAAACTAAGCAGATGCCATTTACATATTATGTAAAAATAAGCAACAAAAACAGTTAAGAAAGTAGAAGTTAGGAATTTAAGAGGGAGCGTTGGGAGGTTGGAGGAAGGAATAGGAATGGATAGAAATGATGCAATTACATTTTCCTAAAATAAAATAAAGTTACATGGGAGCTCTTTCCTTATATAACTGGGAAGTTTTAACATACTACTTTGCACCTATTCACTGTAAAATATTTGTTAATGTCTATCAATCACAAAAGCTGGACTAGGTTACCAAATTTCATCCTGAAATAGTAGTATATGAGTAGTATTTGAAGTTTAATTGATAAGATTTTCTGATTTTGACCTTCCCTAAATTTAGGAATACTGTAAGTGATTTTACAGCTGTTTGTCTCAATTCCTTGATGAGAACCATTATTGAACTGACTTGTCCTTTGCCCTTGCCTGTAGTTACAGGTGTCACCATCACGCTGTGTTCCCTGCTGACCATTCTCTATGTGAAACTTTCCCTTCTGGGGATTATTCTGCTCATCCTAGGATTGGTTTTCTCCCAGAAGAGCAATTATTTCAGGTAGGAACAGAAAACTGCAAAGTTAGACTCCTAGAAAAGATTGAGCTCACAGTGGACTGGGAAAGTATGTTATATGACCCCATCTTGGTTGTTCCTTCAGCTCTTCTACAGCACCAGGCTTTCTTTAAATAAAGGAGCACAGGCACAGATACCCACAGTGCTAGCAAAGTTCTGACTTGCTGAAGTTCTGAGGAGGGGCTTAGCCTGGCCTTCTCTATCAGGAAATATGGTAGAAATTAAGTTGCAGGAACTCTATAAATTTATTTACAAGTTTCTTGACACCCATGGGTTTCTGTTCATTCCTGTATGTATTGTATTACATAATGTTTATTGTTGTTTATTTCTAGAAAATGAAAATCTAGATTTCTGAAGCCCATTAGTCTGATGACACAGCACAAGAAAACAGCCATTTGCCATCACCTTTCTCGTTGACATCCATCTAACCTGATCCTGATGCCTTCATGGTTGTTAGAAGTTATAAGGCTGCCTTCAGTCATGCAGTATGAATATACGGGCAAAAGCTTGGATCTCACCACTGTACATGTATGAATGGCTATCTACTCTCTCTTCCCCACGTTTCAGGTCAAAGAAGAAGAAGGCTTATCAAATGGTGATCAACAGTGCTGATTAGTATTATTCACCCACACTTCCAGGAATAACTTCCATCAACTTCCTGTTCCTAGTACATTTTACATGATCATAAATGTTAACACTGTCAGATACCATGACAAGCAACATCTTCAAGTCAGCCACTAGCCGGACTTCTTTCCTTACTTGCTTGCTACCAAGTAGCTGGACAGTTGTATTTTAAATTAATCATTGAGTACATATGATGTAGGATTCCCGTCTGTATGCTGTCAATATGCATCATAACCATTGGTGAATAAAGAAACTGTTTTGGGCCTCTGGAAGGGCAGAATAGAGCTAGGCAGGAAAACTAAACTTAATGCTGGGATAAAAAAGGCAGAGTCAGAGAAATGCCATGTAGCTGCCAAAGAAGACAGATGCCAGAATTTACCCAGTAAGCCACAGCCTTGTGGCAACATACAGCATAAAAGAAATGGGTTAATTTAAGATACAAGTGTTAGTTAATAAGAAGCCTAAGCTAATATGCCGAACAGTGTTTTCTTTTTTCTCTGATAATTTTTTTATTTCTTTATAAATAATAGGAATCACAATTTCCACTTCCTCCCCTTCTCCCACTTCCCCCCCCTCCCCTGTGCCTCTCCAGTCCTAAGAGAGGGCAAAGAAGCCAAAGGCCCTCCCAGCTCCATCCAGGTTTAGCAAGGTATGTATCCAAATAGACTAGGATCTCAAAAAGCCAGTGCATAGAGTAGAGAAAAGTCACAGTGCCATTATCATTTGCTTCTCAGTCTGCCCCAATTGTCAGTCACATTCAGAGGGTCCAGTTTGATCCCATGCTCATTCAGTCCCAGTCCAGCTGGCTTTGGTGAGTTCCCATTAGTTCAGGCACATTGTCTCAGTGGGTGGATCAACCCTTCATGGTCCTGACTTTTTTGCTCATATTCTCCTTCCTTCGGCTCTTCAGCTGGACCTTGGGAGTGTTCAACTATGTTCATAGCAGCATTATTTGTAATAGCAAGACCCTAGGAACAACCTAGATGCCCCTCAATGGAAGAATGGATAAAGAAAGTGTGGCACATCTACACATTAGAATACTACTCAGCGGTAAAAAACAATGACATCTTGAATTTTGCATGGAAATGGATGGAAGTAGAAAACACTATCCTGAGTGAGATAACCCAGACCCAAAAATATGAATATGGGATGTACTCACTCATTAGTGGATTCTAGACATAAACAAAGGACATTGAGCCTATAGTTCGCGATCCTAGAGAACCTAAGTAATAAGGTGAACCCAAAGAAAAACATATATAGATCCTCCTGGAAATTGGAAGCAGACAAGATTGCCAGGCAAAAGTTGGGAGCATAGAGGTGTTGCTCTAAGCTAATGTTTTATTCTAAAAATCTGTTCTCAGAGTAGTTTATATTCATTTGTGACTAGGGAGAAGAGAGGATTGTATTTGGGATAATTTATGAGTCAGTCCAGGAGTAGTAAGCCCACCTGTTCAGTCCTATGACCACCTAACTTATAGCAAGCCTAGACATAGTATGCTAGTCTATCTGAAGAAAAAGTGTGTGGACTGGTGAACACTTTGCAAATCTCTGCACACAATAAATGGCATGAATTTTTATTGTGTTGTGGAATATTTGTTAAGATGTGTTAACATTTATTTATGCTCTGGAATATTTGTTTAATGATGCAAAAATGTGTTGCATTATTTTATTTTGAATTGGATCAGTCCTGTAATGGTGCTGCCTGAATAACCTGATTGGTCTACAAAAGAGCTGAATGGTCAATATCTGGGTAGGGAAAGGATAGGCAGGGCTGGAAGACAGAGGGGATAAATAGGAGGAGAAATTTGGGAAAAAGGATTCAACCAAAGGAGTGAGAAAATAAAGGGAGGAGGACATCAAGGACCAGCTACCCAGATACACAACAAGCAATGCAATCAGAAGTAAAGAAGGGATATAGGAAGGTAAATGCCCAGAGACAAAAGGTAGACAGGATTCGGTTAAGAAAAGTGGGCTAGAAACAAGCCAAACAAAGGCCCAACATTTGTAAGTAATAAGACTCCATGCGATTTCTTGGGGAGCTGGGTGGTTGGCCCACAAAAGTGCAAAGAACAAAAGCATAAAAGTAAAAACTACTAACAAAAAAGGAACAGTGCCAGTATCAAAATTAGTGCCTATTTTGATAGTAGAGATCAGTATGAGTTGAGCAGTAAATAAATTCATAATTGTCACTTAAACACATTTAAGGGATGAGTTCTTTTTATCTATGTTTTCAGTACAACTTCTTCATGTTTAAGTCAGGACATAAAGAGTTAAGAGATCTAGTACTGTAATTCTGCAACAGACTAGGACATACAAGGGCAGAGATTACAAGCAGCTTGGATCATTGTCTCTCTTCCCTGTTCTACTTGTGGAAGACACTTCTCTTCACGACTGAATCTTCATCCCACCTCTCTTGTCTTGTTTCTAGTAGATCTCAAAGTTCTTTCCATAAAGAGTTTATGGACAGTCTTTATTCACTCCAAGTAGTTTTCTCTGATCAATAAAAGATACATAAATGACAGTTTTTCAGTTTTGAGTTTGGATCTCAAAAGGTCCTGAGTGTTTCTCCTTTTCATTCTGTGGGAATATGGATGACCTACCTGCTGGAGGATGAGAAGAGAACACAGCTGGTCCATGTCAGTCAAGCCTTTCCTGTTTCTGTTGAGTCAGCTCAAGTATCCAAGAGTGAGCTTTTTTTCAAAGCCTTGAGCAAACTCAATCAAAATCATCAGACATGATGATCCCTGCTAACCCTAGACAAATGAACAGTCATTGCCATAGAGTTCCTGTGTTTGCTTATCAGGTAGCACATTTGTGGCCTAAAGTAACTCACACATTGCTCAATAACATCACTCCAATTATGTAAGGACAGACACAGCTAGTAGCCTCTTTCAGTTTCCCTTGCATCTGCTCCTGACCATGAGTTCTGGCAAATGATAAGTGTGACATTTTCAGAACAGCCCTTTAGTGAAAGGGAAGGGTTTTCTTCTGCTTTCTAGTGTATCTGTGAAACTGCAGTACTGGAGTGATACCTGCAGATCCCAGAGTAACTTCATCCATGGATAATGCTGAGGATGAAAGCTACTAATTTAAGAAAAAAAAAAAACCCAGAACAATGGAAGGACTTGGCCTGATGTCCGTAGATTTGCCCCACCAGCCCTAGACCTATCTTAGTGTAATAGAGAATAAACCATGTTCTTCACAGTACTGCTATTTGGATTTTTAATTTGCACATAGCTGAGATTAATTATAATTGAAATAAATAATTGGTCAGTTTGGCAGTTTAGTATGATTAAAATTGGTTGTGTTCTACTCATGTTCATATTCTGGATCATTTTTATTCTTCCTTTAAATGTAATACTCTTAGTGTTCCTGTTGCTATGAAGAGATACCATGACCATGACCAATCTTATAAAATCAAATATTTAATTTTGGAGGTTTGCTTACAGTTTCAGAGTTTCAGTTCATTTTCATCATTGTGGGCATGGTGGATACAGGCAGATGTGGTGCAGGAGCAGTAGCTGAGAGTCCTACATCTTGTAGACAACAGGAAGTAGACTGACACTGAAAAAAGCTCATGTAAGAGGGACCCCAAAGCCTGCCCCCATAGTCACACACTTCCTCCAACAAGACCATACCTACCTCAACAGTGCTACAGCTCTTAATACTGCCAGGCTCTTTGGAATTCTAGTGGACAATTACGTTCAAATTCCACTTCATGGCTCCCATAACAATACCATAGTGCAAAATTCATTAGTCTAAATTCAAAAGATACCTAGTTTTTGAAAAAAGTACAGTCTCAACAATGTTTTAAAGTCCAATGTTCAAAACATTTTTTGAGGTTCATGCAATCTTTTAACTGTATTCATCGGTAAAAATAAAAATTAAAAAGAAGATCACATACTTCCAATGTAGAATGGCACATTATAGGATATAAACATTACTCTTCCAAAACATAGGGAAGGGAGCATAGCAAGGAAATACTGTACCAGAGCAAACTGGAAATCAGCAAAGCAGCTTCAAACTCTGCATCTCCATGTCTGCTGTCACAATCTTCAGATCTCCAAGTCTGTTCAACTTTGTTGACAGACACACACTTCTTTCTCTTGGGCTGGTTCCACTCTCTGTTAGCAGCTTTCCTTGACAGGCATCCCATGACTCTGGCATCTTTGACTTCTTGAGTTCTCCAAGGCAACCTAGGCTTCAACCTCACAGTTTCACACAATGGCCTCTCTAATAGGCTGCCCCTCAGTTACACCCCTGACACATTCCAGGCCTCAGTGGCATTCTTTAGGCCTTCCAGTTGTATCCCACCACACCCAACTGTAAGCTTTTCTTTAGTTCCTTTTCACAAGTTGAAAACTTAGGTGGGTGGGATGCTGTCCTGAAATCATCACACCCTTTATTCCATTTCTTAATCTGTTTATCTCTTTGAATGTAGAATTTAGCTCCCTTCTGTTAGGAATTTTTTCAATGTTAGGATTTTTTTTTCCTAAAGCGAGCTCTCTATCGACACAAAAATCCTAATCAAGCCAAACCACAAAAGCCAAATTAAAAGAGATCCAGGTTTAATAGAATTCCCGTGCTCTCAGGTGGCCCTGAAGGAAACTGGGAAGCTGCAAACACAATCACAGGGGAAAGAGAAAAGACTACAAAGGGACTTTCTAGGGGAGCAGTTTAAATAGACTGGGGGAGTTGTCAAGGTTTTGGTGGGCCACCTTGACACTCCTCCTGGGAGGGGCCAAGGCTTGGCAGACAGACTTGACACTCCTCCGGGGAGGGGTCAAGGTTTAGCAAGCACAAGGGAAGGACCTCCAAATATGGAATCCCAAGACTGGGACTTACATTCCAGACTGTCCATATAAGGGATGAGAGGAAGCTGAGGCAATACCTTGACTAACATTTAGGCTTTCTTTGGAAAAGGGGGCATTGACTCAATTTTGGCTACTTCCTGCGGGCATGGGGCAAGGTGGGGAAAAGGAGAGCTGGGTGTTGGTGGGTCCATGCTCAGCAAGAGGTGTAGCTGGAAAGGCACCCTGTGTACTGTCATCCTGTAGATGCCAGGCCAGGGAAGGTGAGAAAGCAGGTGTTGTGTCAGGTCCTGTCCATTGAAGT